AAAAAAAAAAAAAAAAAAAAAAAGAAACTGGTTGGATCAACTTGGATGTGCAGACAGGCTCTGCGTCGCCCAAAAAACCTAGCAGCACTATCGGCTCTCCGGAGCGGAACACCTTGTGGTCACACCGCCAAGCCTAAAGCCGGGAATTTCTGCCGTGCTGATGATTTCCGAGCCTGCAGACCTGGTACCGTACCTGATTGCCTCGCCGAACGCAGCAAGCTCACCGTGAATGAGCTTAACGATGTTGCTCATCTCTGGTCGTTTAGTCGGCTGCAATTCACAGCATTCTCGAGCTAGCTTCTTCAGGATCTGCACAGTCTGTGGCTGCACAACCCCTTCTTCCATCAAATAATCTGAATGGCCCCGCCGATGCCAATCTCGCGCAACAGCTTCTGCCTGCGCACGCGGAGAACGGAGACGAAAACGAGCAAACAACCACGACATCTTGACCATCAAATTCCCCTTCAAATTCCCTTCAAAATTCCCTTCAAAATTCCCTTCAAATTCCCTTCAAATTCCCTTCAAATCCCCTTCAAATTCCCTTCAATGCACACAGACAACTTAGACAAGAAAATGTTAAAAAAAAGGAAACATTTGAAGAAAGCAAGAAGATAGACAAGGAGTGGACAGAGTCCAAGCCACACCTACACACCTATGCTTTCCTGCGCGTTTGCAGTCTGGACATTTTGAAGCTTGAACCCTTGTTTTATAACCCACAGGTTGGAAGTTTGAACGGCAGGGCCTGACCAACAGCTCTTATTAAACGACCAGAACAGAACGAGCCCCCTCTTCCCAACCCTTTTGCCGCTTCCGGTGCTATATAAGCGAGAGCCTCGCTTCCGATGTACCGGACTAGCACGAGTTGGATTCGTAGGGGTGCAAAAAGATTAGGTTCAGCAATTTAGGGTCCACCAATACTGGCACTTCAACCAAAAGATTTTTGCCTCGCGTTCAAACCACTGGTGTGAACTTGAGGTTTTTGCCTCGCGTTCAAACCACGAATATAAATATACTGTCTTGCGCGCTTTTTCTCGTTGTCTTCATCTAGAGCCGTTCTTCTGGAAATATCACGTGAAATCTCTCTCACGAATGATTTCTCTCAATGAAACTCTACAATTTTTGCAAGCAGTGGACGAGTAATGATGGCTTGTTTTTGTTTCGGGAAATCATACGGATGTACTATTTTCAGTGCTTCTTCTCATTGTCATCACCTCCATTGTGGGTCTTCCCACCTGCTCGCCCTCCTACATCCGTCCTCTGGCGATCATGTACGTTGATTGCGCTGGCATGCTCATGCAATTTGCTGTTCGAATTATTCAGTTGAAGGGCATTCCACGATGCAGACGCCAAATTCGAATTTCAGGGTCAAGGTCTCAAGCCAAGGGAGGCCAAGTCGGCCAGTTCAGAAAGGTCACGCTCAGAGTCAAGTCGGCCGACTGATGTACCTTAGAGTCAAGTCCAACAGGCTGCCTACCAGTCGGCACACGGCCGTACTTTTATTTAAGTTTTTCCTGAGTACATGAGCGGAACAGCCCAAATCCGCAATAAAATTTTTGTTTTGGAGGGGTGCAGGGGGGGGGAGGAGGGGTATTCAGGGGGTGTATGGGGGGTTCTGTGAGGAAGGTTCAGGGGTTGTTTGGGCGGTGTTCGGGGGGTGTTCAGGGGGTGGGTGTTTCAGGGGTTCTCTGGGGGAGATTCAGGGTGTGTTTGGGGGGTGTTCTGGGTGGTGGACTGGGGGTGTTTGGGGGATTCGAGAACAGAAGTAAGGACGGGAACCAACGCAGGGCTAGACACCGACGCTCTACAAAAGCGAGAGCAGCAAAATGGTCTGAAGTGCTGCTCTACTCTCACTTTTGTGAAGCCTATGAAGCTTCCCGGAGCCCAGCCTCTCCTGAAAGTCGGTCGGTGAGGCCCACGGCGCACGACAGGGTCTGTAGGACCCCCGTCAATTTTTTTTTCCAACTGAGGGATGCCTACTAGTCGCCTACCGGTTGGCGCAGACGGTGCCTACCATAGGCAGGTCAGCCGCCTACAGTTCCGGGTCGCTGACGGTCGGCCAGACTACCCTGCTTGTAACCCTGGTTTTGTGACAATTTGATCTGACGTGAAGCTCAATCGCTGGGCTCTCTCTCTCTCTCTCTCTCTCTCTCTCTCTCTCTCTCTCTCTCTCTCTCTCT